ATGAATCCAATCAATTAATGACTTTTCCTGAAGATATTTTGCCAACAAAAGGTTCGCAGCATCCGTGTTGGCAGAAGGCATGAGTTTTTGAACTCCCACGTGTTATTGATGGTGTTAGGTTACGTAAATCACGAGCTGCTTAAGATCCACCTTACGAGGAGTTAATGGGTCTGTCCCCGGTCATCTGGCAGTTGCGGAGATGATTTTCACATTACTGCACCACGTGTGTAAAGCATCCCCCTTTTCCCCAGCCCTATTTCTTAAAGAAACTGGAGTGTGGTTTCAGCCTGGCGTTGGGCAGCAGCAAACGTGGTCGAAGCAGAAACCTGTGGGCAGCGAGCGCCACCTCCAGCCACCAAATAATAATGACACTGCGGTAACGAAACAACTAATTTGATAATTCTCCTTTGGAATTGCCATCTGTTCCGCCAAAAGATGGAGGAAAAAAAGCCACCTGAGACTGATGAAAGATTGAGATTTAAGCTTTAGCGCTATCCTAATACCCTGTAGGGCGAATCTGCAAATCCTCGCTAAAGTTTCTGAATTAAATAAAAAAGCTGCTTAAAATTGCAAGGAGCTGAGCATCCCAAATTTGTTTCTGTTTTCAGGCTACTGAAGTCAAGAATAAAATCAAGTCAGATTTTAATAGAGCTAAAATTTGTACTGTATTATAGTCCTCCAGCCTACAGAGAGTCTATGCATCTAACAACACTGCATATGGTGCAGCTGGTAAGTACTTGGCAAAGCTCATCAACGACCCCCCCAGTACTGTCCCAGAATGACTGGGTAGAAAACTAGGGTAAATAAGCAATATGTAAAGCCAGCAGACAAAGTTGCAGAAGAATTATATGCAACGCAAACATTGCAAAATTTACAAATATTACCAAAATTACTCTGCATAATTATTATGCAAATGCATTTAATTACATAAATACAACTAATATCGCAAGTATTACAAAACCACAAAAATTATGTAAATGCAAACACAAAAGAATGACAATGGTTGTATTAAGTACGAGTGTCTCCTGTGTACACTTCATCCCATGTAAATAGTACTTATGTTAGTGCACATTTTTAAAGAAATCCGTGCTGAAAAAAATAAACCAAGACATCACTTCTAGCTGGTGCCTGAGAAATTGTTCCCTACCGTGACGTTAAATGACATTGTTGCTATCCCGTTACCCAGCAGTTTTCTGTTCTTCCCAACACCACAGCAAGCCTCAGGTCTCCAGAGTATTCACAGCTCCAGAGGGTTCAAATGGAGCGGAGCTATTAAGCTCATCAGAAAAATCGACTTGCGAAGGTGGGGATGCTGCTATCGACAGCGTTCTCTGAACCAGACGGACAGCCGAGGTCAGGGCTTTTGAGCCCAGCCTTGTTACTGTTGTAGAAGACTTTGTTCTGGAAACGTATCTTGTGGATGCCAGTGGCAAAGTAGTTGTCAGATGCTAAAACTGAAAATCGTGCGTCCTCATGTGTGCTGTACAAGACTCATCCATATTAAAGAATAATTAATTAAAGAATAATCAAAGATTTTGCAAAAGCGAATGGATTACTGGATTTAAAGGGCTATGAATACTAAACACACACATTGAATAGACTCAGGAAGGGTTAAAAGACAAAGCAACTGTTATCAGCTAGCCTTAAAAATAGCATTCCTGAACTAGATACAGCAACTTACTTAAAATGCAAATTATTAAATTACTCTGTGTTATTTTTATGATTGTCTGAGTTCAGAAGGTATTTGACAACCGTTCAGAAACCCAGAAAGATACAGTTAGCAGCCACAGAGACTGCAAGATACAGAAAGCAAGTTGATGAAGCTCTATTAGAAAGAGACCTGTGAAGGACAAGAGGGCAATCAAGAGCAGCTGGCAGGGATTTATAAAGGACAAATAGCACTTGGCCAACCTGATTGCATCCTATGATGAAACAGGTGGCTACATGGACAAGGAGGGAGCAGTGTACACAATAGATGGTGACTTCAGTACAGCTTTTGAAATAATTTCCCACAGCACTTCCACTCACAAATGGAGGAAATATGGCATGAAGAAGCTGGCCCTTAGATGCATTGGAAACTGGCGAGGCTGGCGGGCTCAGTGGGTGGCAATTGGTGGCTTGGCAGTCTGCCTGAAGGCCCATCACAAGTGGAGTACTCTAGGGGTTGATACTAGGGCTCGTATAGTTCATTGTCTTCATCAAAAAACTGGACCATGGGACAGGAGGCACCCTCAGCATATTTTAAGATAAAGCTAAGTTGGGGGCGATGGGGGGTGTTTTGACACACTTCAGTTCTGAGGGACTTCGAAAAGCTTAAGGACTGGATGGACAGAAGCCTTAACATACTGAACAAGGAGAAACACAAACAAGGAGACACACACAAGGGCTCAGCCCTGCACCTAAGGCAGGATAAACCCTTCCGTTGGTACCGGCTGGGAAGAAGCAGGCTGGCTATCAGCTTTGCCAAAAAGGCCCTGGGGTTATGTGAAAGCCAAGTACAACACGAGCGAAGAGTGTGCTCTCATCCCAAAGGGGGCAAATCACACAGTGGCCTACGTTAGAAGGAGTATGGCCAACAGACCGAGGAGAGTTGCCGTCCTCCTCTGCTTGGTGGTGAGGCCCTGGCTGGACACAGGGCCCAGTTTTGTGCTTCCCCAGGTCAAGATGGGCAGCGAAGGCTACCAGGATGATCGGGATCTAAATCACATCACCTAGAAGGAGAGGTTGAGGGATCCTGGGCATGTCTTACCTGTTGAAGAACGTAAGGGGTCGCATAACAGCAGCCTGAAGGGGGTTTACAGATACGAGAGCACTAAACTCCCCTTGGCAGTGGTAGCCAATACAACAGGAGACCACGGGCAGAAGTGGCTCGGGAGGGCCAAAAGGGACTTTATGAAACAAATTATTTACTTGGAGGGTCGTTAACCTGGACAAACCATGAAACTTTTATTTTGGATGGTTTCAAGAGCTGTCAAGACAAAACCGCAACAGCTGCGATTGACTTGCATAAGTGGGGGAGGCTGGACTGTGCGACACCCAGAGGTCCTTTCCAACCAACCTGTTTATGGTTGCGCACAGATGCAAAGCTGATGACTTTCCTGGTCTATGATTCTTGTTTATTGTGGGAACGTAGCCTTAAAACGGTCACCAAAATGTTGTCTGAGTTTTATTATTAATTTGGGAGCATGTTTAAGTACACACATGAGCAAAAATAGAAATCCTCTGCCATCTGTTCATACCTGGCAAACTGCAGATGTTCTTTTCTGAAAACAAAGAGTATTTCACCGCCACATTTGAACCGTTATCTGCTATTTCAGCTGGCAAGACAAAAATAGCAAAGAAATGCAATGTATTTTGAAAATCCACCGACTGTAAAGTAATACAGCCTGTTATTTATTCAACTTGTAAAAGTGATGGAAGTGCCTGTAGCCAGACTCCAGGAGTCCCTCAAACAATTTAGAACTCCGAGTGCCGCAGCTCCGGCAAGTACCCTCTCTTCTCTGACTAATTACGTGCGTTTGCACTGTTTACTGTTGCCAGGTTTTTAAAAGTATCCTAAAGCATCGATGATATATATGCTCGGTTTTGACTAAAGTATGAATTATTACTGCCCCTGCGTAACACCCTTCCCCTCCTTCGCACCAGGGACGACTCCTCCCTCCTTCGCACCCCAGGAGAGGACTGGCGGCCTTCCCCTTCCCCTTTCCCTTCCCCTTTCCCTTTCCCTTTTCCTTTCCTTTCCCTTTCCCTTTTCCTTTTCCCTTTCCTTTCCTTTCCTTTCCTTTCCCTTTCCCTTTTCCTTTCCTTTCCCTTTTCCTTTCCTTTCCCTTTTCCTTTCCTTTCCCTTTTCCTTTCCTTTCCCTTTTCCTTTCCTTTCCCTTTTCCTTTCCTTTTCCTTTCCTTTCCTTTCCTTTCCTTTCCTTTCCTTTCCTTTCCTTTCCTTTCCTTTCCTTTCCTTTCCTTTCCTTTCCTTTCCTTTCCTTTCCTTTCCTTTCCTTTCCTTTCCTTTCCTTTCCTTTCCTTTCCTTTCCTTTCCTTTCCTTTCCTTTCCTTTCCTTTCCTTTCCTTTCCTTTCCTTTCCTTTCCTTTCCTTTCCTTTCCTTTCCTTTCCTTTCCTTTCCTTTCCCTTCCCCTCTTGCTGCTTTCCGCGTTGCAGCCGCCGTCTGAGTCGTTGTCATTAAAGCGCTGTTTGTGGTTAATTAATCCCTGAGGAGCCAGAGCGCTGGGGTCGCGGTTCCGCCACACGGCGGGAGGG